TATATATATGTACATATATATATAAATATACAGATACACACATATATATATATATATATACATACATACACATCAGTCCACATACCGTTCTGTGCTTTATCCAGATACTGCTGTACTCCGGGCACTACCGCCACCAGTGCCCCAATGGCCGTCCCCAGTGCACCCAGACTAGCCAAGTCGTCCTCCACTGTACTTGGCTTAACGCCATTGGCCCCGTAAACGGCTGGGTCTAACGGTTCGTTGTCTGTGGGTGGTCCTGCCGCGGGTATGGCTCGCTCCTCGTCTGATTCCTCACCTGAGAAAATAAGACCACGGTGGTGACGGAATAAGCATACAACATGACAGATGTAGTGTATCTAAAGCCCAAAAAACCCTAGAAAAAGTGTTAAACCTATATATGTCGCGGTGTCCCCATCATCTGCTTTCTCGAATACGATCGTGCCTGTATTCATATTTATCAAGACCCTAAACCCTAAACCTTAAACCCTAGCTGCTGCCTGGTCATGGGGCTGGGCATGTGTCATACACTCAGACGCGTGTGTGTGCACAGTCGAGTGACTGTCAGTCAGTCTCTGTGGTGTGTGCAAGCCTTCAATACGTTCTACTGTCAGGGGTCTGAGATTACTCTATATATCTGGAGAATGTTCTATATATTTGGGGATTCTTCGATATATCTGGGAGTTGCTCTATTTATCTGGGAAGGTTTATATATATGGAGGTTCTCTTCTCTTTGCGATTCGATATTTCCTCCAACATACCTACTCATCCTCTACGTCTGTGTTTTTATATTGTCTGTTCATATTTTTTTATCTTCGTCTTCTACTTCTTCGTCTACCGTAAACTATGACCTACCCACGCTACCAGTCAGTAATCACGCGTTTCCATTGGTTGATAAGAACGTATATTGCTACCGCCATCTTGAAGCACATATGATTGTCCCTATAACTATAACTTTCCAATCACGCATGTAGCTTTGTATTATATGTTCTTCACCTTTATTTAAATTTTAAATTGGTTGATAAGAATGTATATTGCTATCGCCATCTTAAAACACATGTGATTGTCCCTATACATTTCCAATCACACTTGCGTGAGTCTGTATCGCACACACTCGTGAGTGCCTGTTTTGTCTACGTCTACGCCACACCTACGGTCGTATATTGAACCGTTGCCCTAAAGGTATTGACGGTAGATATACAAACTACGCGTGCAGACAAGAAACATTCGTATACTACCAAGCATCACTCACACCCTTAACCTACGCTACCCAAACGTAGCATACACAAGGACAGTCTATAAATAGCACACAAGGATAGTCTATAAATAGCACACAAATACGGTCTATAAATAGCACACAAGGATGGTCTATAAATAGCTCATAAGGATAGTCTATAAATAGCACACACGGTTACCTACCTCCACTGTCTAGCTCGTACGTGAACTCATCCATCAATCCCACCTCCTTTGCCGAGGGCAACGGTCCCATATCTGTAACGACAACAGGTAGAGGAAAACGTATAAAGATCAGTACAGTGAAAGGGACAGCAATGGCAATAGATGGTGAAAAACGTATAAAGTTAAGTACAGAGAAAAGGACCGCAATAGCAATAGATGGTGAAAAAACGGATAAATTTAAGTACAGCGAAAAGGACAGCAATGGCAATAGATGGTGAAGAACGTATAAAGATCAGTACAGTTAATATCTCAGCTTTGTATTTTTGGGGTTTCCTTATCAATGACACCGACAAAAGCTATAGGAGTCTGCCAATGCAAGTACTATCACATACACATACAGTACTTGGAAAACTATTGTATACACAATCAGTACTATATAAATACAGATACAACAAGCAATCTCGGCCACAGATCCATAAAGCCAACAGATATGATATGGGCAATCAGAGTTCAAAACGTAACAAAAGTTTTATTTCTGTGCGGGTGTCAAGTCACAGTGAGACTTTACTTTAAATCAGCCCTCATAAGGACCAATGGTGGTATATGAGTATGCGGTTTAAGTAATAGCGTTGACGCTTTTGAAGAAAACGTAAAATAAAGGTCATGCGATGTAACCAACCATAGGCAAAAGGCATATATATTTGGCCGTATAAATAAAACTTAGAACCTCCCCTCATAGCTACAATATGACTGTATCTGTGTAGGTATCAATAGTCATAGTACTTCATTTTTCACCTTAAAATTAAAACTTATATTGGTACTATATCTGTGTAGGTATAATTAAACACAGTACTCCCATTTTCACCTTATAAATAACACCTAAGTTGGTATTATATCTGTGTAGGTATCAATAAACATAGTACTTACATTTTCGGCCGTATAATCCCACAGTGCCATATTTGGTATATTGAGTAATTAGGTAGCGGTACCATCCCTTCTTCACCAGGACTCCGATGAGTGGCAAGTGCATAATCGGGATGAAAAACCTGTGATATAAATAGATTACGCATAGTGAGTACAAAAAATCGGGATCAAAAATAGATTATGCAAAGTGTACAGTATCGGGAGGAAATACGTAAGATAAAAATAGACTCTACACAGTGAGTGGTGTATATATCGAGATAAAATGTCTACCTACAAATAACACTAATGACACTTGGTGGTAGGATATCAGCATACAGTGACAACGATGTATATGGCTGCACCTGATGAGTAACTCACGTACCTACACTCACACCTCCATAGCACGACTCACACAGGCTACTACATTTTAATACATTCTTAAAAACATATATAGATAGATAGACATGTATATATAGAAGCTCAAATACATCCACAAGCGTATATCGCTTACCTCGGGCTTGAAGCATACAAAGGTGAACACCATGTAACACAACCAGGTGAGGAGTGGAGGCTCCCACACCAACACCTTCACGGCACGTTTCATATAGGCTAATCCTTCTTTCTTATCAATTTAAATACTTAAATAACATAGATATGTACATATAGAAGCTCTGATATATCTACACGCGTACTACAGGTACATATACACATATCGCTTACCGTGGATTGAAGCATACAAAGGTGAACGCAATGTAGCACAACCAGGTGAGTAGTGGAGGCTCCCACACCAACACCTTCACGGCACGTTTTTTTCTTCATATAGGCAATTCCATTTTTTTTATCAACTTAAATACTTAAATATCATAGATATGTACATATAGAAGCCCTGATATATCTACACGCGTACTACAGGTACATATACACATATCGCTTACCGTGGATTGAAGCATACAAAGGTGAACGCCATGTAGCACAACCAGGTGAGTAGTGGAGGCTCCCACACCAACACCTTCACGGCACGTTGTGCATAACCGATCAACGGCAGCAACAGCTCATAGCATTGCATGGCGTAGCCGTACGTCTTGTTGACCTCCTGTATGAGTCATTGGTAGGTAGGTAGATGGGGAGTGGGTTTTAGAATTAGGGCCGAATTGCACCACATACGGCCCTGGTACTCTACTTTTGCGACAGGGTAAGACCCAGCCACCAGGTCGATTCATAAATGGCAGGGTACAGCCCTGTATATCTTGCTGAAGATGTACCAATCTGAATACAAACCAAGAGAAATCCATATATATATATATATATATATATATATAATATATATATATAGTTGTGTGTGTGTATATATA